GAGCAATATGGACGAATTATTTTTAAGTTGTTTTTATTTATTGATGCATTGAAAAAAAAAAAACAACCTAGGACAGATCTCAAGCTACCTTTATCTCTTCATCACCCTTGTGAAAATAAACCAAGACCAAAGAAATAACAAGCAAGGCTATTTATTCAGAACTTGCTCCAGCAAGGGAATCACCCAACATTCAGTGCTTGCATTTCGGCAGACGCTTAAAAATAGGCAAGTGTGTGGGATATAGTGGAAAAAAGAGAAGACTTCAGGCATGCCCTGATTGGAAGCTATTGGCACAGGAAAGCTAGAGTCAGGTTAACTAGACATGGGGATCCTAGATGATTGGTTAGGGGTCCATATTTGCCCTTCTTGGGTTGGCCCTAAGTTGGAAGCTTGGACAAAAATTAGGGAAGTTGTCAGTTATTAATGAAGTTCGGTAGGTGGGACCCGTTGTTACCGAGTAATCATTTGACCTCCTGGATTATTACTAGAGATAGCAGGCTGACTTCCTGCAAACCTGCCACGGCAGGCGGGCTTCCTAGTCTGGTTATTGTAGATGGGAGTTGGTTTCCTGAGCAGGTTGCTGCATTTATGGGCCAGAGTCATGTTATTGCCTGGTGATTGCCTGTTTATATGGTCAGTCTCCCACCAGCATACACATGTTTCATGCAAGGAGAGAGCAGAAATACTGGTTTTCTTAAAGAGCTACTGACAACTTTTCTTTTTACCAACTAAGATTCCCTAACAATAGAGTATACTGAAGGGCAAGGATAGAAACTAGTTTGATTTCTCCATCTCTCTCTCTTTTTTAAAGGGACTTCTACACACTAGACACTTCGGGAAGACTGGGACCTGATTCCTCATGTTTACTCCTCTGTTCAGGGCTTCTTGAAGGTTGAATGAGGACCTAGCAATTTCTGGGTTGTTGTGTTAGAGTTCTCCATAGAGTACAATATAAAGAAATGCAAAAATGGTAATAAAAACTTATGCCCAACAATTTGATTCAGACATGCATGCAGTTGTTATGATCATTATGCTGTTCTTAATTAAATTATAAGATTATTTAAAAAAAGGTAATTCATGAGATGCTACAGCTGTGTAGTCCTGTAAAGGACCCGAGTTTAAATCTAAACAAAAACATGGTTTGGCCCTTCCGGAGGATGAGAGCCGGTCATGCGTCCCCTGGAGCCTCCTCTGAGGTCCGTGTGGGGGACACTCAACATCAGTGCAGGAATTCAGGGTTCCTACATGCATGTGCCATTTATGCAGAATCTGTAAATGTAGTTGATAGTTCTATTTCCATAGGAAAGAACAAAAATATGCCAAATTAAAAATGAGCATGATTTGCAATTTTATTTGTAAATCAAGGACTGAAATATGGTTTGTGATTTATTATTTTCAATGGAATGTGTTTGCAAACTTACAAATCATTAGCAAACCCAGGATATGAGAGACACCACTTTAATGTGGCTTCGGACTTCCAATAGCCTGGATTACAAAGGTACAGTGGCAGTTTCAGATTAGCAAGGAATTTCCTGTTTGGGCAACTCAAACTGCTTCTCTCCTGACATTATATCTTCTGTGAGGAAAACAACATTTGCAGCCACATGTAAATGGAAGAGTATTGTGTTTCAGAGCTCGTTTGGACTGGGTCATGCAGTAGTTTAATGAATAACATGATTTCATATTTAGAAGCTGTGATCATTGCAATTACTGTAAGTGGTCTCTGTCTACATTAGAAGAGACATATATTCTTTGTCATATTTGGCTGTCTCTGGAAAAGATGGTTGCCAGGAATGAAGTAACAGAAGGTTGTGAATTATGACAGAAGGATGCCAAGAGATCTGTGGAAACTTAAGGTCTGCCTGTACTGAATTTTTTGTTAGCACAACCCTGGCCTGTGAGCCTTTTTAAAACAACAACAACAACAACAAAACATGTGCTTCAGCTCCCTCCCTTGAAGAAATAACAAAGTAATTATTTCCTACAGCAGAAATATCTGTGTGGGACACTTCAGAAGTTCCTATGTATTCTTCGGAGGTCAAGAAAGCAATATTTATTTAAACTTTGAACCTTTAAACTTGCGTTATCTCTAAGCAATTCAGAATGTTTATTTAATGTCCTCAAAGAGCAGGGTATTTAACAGCAGCCCTTAAAAGGCAAATATCTAAGATTATCGGCCTAGGCGGTGATTACTGTAACTTTTTAATCCTTTCCCTCCCTAGCTTTGTTAATTTCTTCTTCTCCACAAATACCCTCTCTTCGATTTTCACATGTACATAAAAACTCCTTTTTCCTTTGAAAAATGTATGTCCTCAGATGATCCTCTGTATTCGCATATATCTCATCTGACCTGTTGCTTTCCCTGTGTACCAACTCACCTCTTTGCAGTGCCAAACGGCTTGAACGTGGCGGCTTTATGTGTTCTCACATTTCCTCTCTCCCCATTCCCTGCTTAACTTTCAGACTTCCCTCCTCAGTTAGGTATCGACAGGACTCAAACATCATCCAGATCTTCTTCGAGGAAATCTAATGTCCTCGCATCCAGCCTCAGTGCTGGCCCATTTGGTGCTCTCTGCAGACTCCTTGAATGTGGCATCCCTGGACTTCTACAGTCGTGCACTAGACTGGTTGACCCTCCTCTTACACTACCTGTTTCCCTCTATCGGCATTTCTTTCTATTCATAGACCTCTGGAGTTCTGTTCTTACCAGATCATATTTGAGGCTTACCTAGAGAATACTACCCACATGGAGTCAATTATGGAGTAAAATAATTATGACCCACATGCAGTCAATTATGGAGTAAAATAATTCAGTGGCATCTTGCATAGCTTCAGATCCAAAGTGAGACCTTCTAAGAGCAGCACATTGAGATGTCTGTAGGGCTCAGGGCTTGGTTCAGGTCAACCCAGGGTCAAATCTTCAAGATCTGAGAGATGGGAAAATGAACCAAAAGTCCATTAGTCACCTCCTTAAACCAAGCAGGCTGGTCTCTTGGTTTAATATGGTGACTTGGCACAGTTTGTTTTTCTCAAGAATTATATGAAACTAACTTAACAGAAACTAAAATGCTTCACGTATAGCTATGATAAACCGGAGTATCTGGCTGGACCCTTGCTTGTACAAATCTAGGAAAGTCTTTACTATCCATGAACATCGTACCAAATGTTCTTGTCAATTAATAGACAAAATGATGTAACAAAATAATATTCTTTAAATTACCTATGATAACTAGAGATCCACCTTTGTGCTGATAGTCTGCTGATAATACTCAGGATTTATTCTTATTTTTAAGAAATATCAAGCTGTCTTTCTTCCATGTCTACTTGTCCATAACACAACTCTGTGCCTGGGTGCTTTCTTACTTCTTAAAAGCACTTGAAAAAAAAGAATGAAAAGACAGGCCACAGATTTGGAGAAAATATTTGCAAAACACATATCTGATAAAGGACTAGTATCTAAAATGTTAATTAAGTCTTAAAACTCAATGATAAGAAAACAAACTGTTCAATAAAAAAGGGTTAAAGGGGGCGCCTGGGTGGCTCAGTGGGTTAAGCCGCTGCCTTCGGCTCGGGTCATGATCTCAGGGTCCTGGGATCGAGCCCCGCATCGGGCTCTCTGCTCTCTAGGGGAGCCTGCTTCCTCCTCTCTCTCTGCCTGCCTCTCTGCCTGCTTGTGATCTCTCTGTCAAATAAATAAATAAAATCTTTAAAAAAAAAAAATTAAAAAAAAAAAGGACTAAAGATCTGAACAGACACCTCACCAAAAAAAATGTGCATCTGACAAATAAGCAAATGAAAAAGATGCTTAACATCTTATATTATTATGGAATTGCAAATGAAAACAACCATGAGATATGGTTACGTATCTCTCAGAATGCTAAAATCCCACACACCACCACCACCAAATGCTGACAGAGACGCTGTCAAATGCTGGTGGGAATGCAAAATAGTATAGCTCCTGTGCAAGATAGGTAGTTTCTTTCAAACCTAAAAGCCAGGCTCACCACATGATCTGATGATCATGCTCCTAGGTATTTGTGAATTGGAAACTTACGTCTACATTAAAACTTGCACATAGGTATTTACGCTTGCCTTATTTATAATTCCCCAAAATTGGATGCAGTCAAAATATCCTTCAGTAAGGGGACGGACAAACAAACTGTGGTACATCCATACAATGGAATATTATCCCAAAAAGAAATGAGCCATTGACCAAAAAAGATATGATGGACCCTAAAGGTACATTGTTAGGTAAAATAAGACCGTCTGAAAAGGCTATGCGCAATGATTCCAACCATATGATGTTCTGGAAAAGGCAAAACTACAAAGACGTTTAAAAAGATCAGTGATTATCAGAGGCTCATGGGAAGGGGAGGGATAAACTGGGAAAGCACAGGGGATTTTTAAGGCAGTGAGACTGCTCTGTGTGATACTCTAATGTTGAATATATGACATTATGCATTTGTCCAAACCCTTAGAATGTACAATAATACAAAGAGTGAACCCAAAAAGTAAACTATGGACTTTGGTTGATAATCATGTATCAGTATTGGCTCAATTCTTCTTTAAACCTAAAACTGCTCAAAATTTCTAGAAAAAAAATTAATACAATGGCTTTTTATTCTATACACATAAAAATAATAGTAACACTGAAAATTCTGTGTACAGCTAAAACAAACTTGTGTTCAGACATGGGAACTAAGGTGTGGGGTCCTGTCCACAGCTGGTTATAATGTCTTTGTCACACACACTGAATTTGACCATCTGAAGTCAAAGTCAATTAACTGTTAGATCCTTGTTCTTCTTTCTGTGTCACATTCATATGTCTCAATTGAGAAACATTTTAAGTAAAGGGCAAGCTACATGATAACTTCCAATAAACAGTGAAATGTATGATGACTAAATATAAAACAATAAAAAAACAGGGTGCTAAAATACTACTGTCACTCTCCTGGAAATGTCTAACTAAATATTTGAATGATTTTCTCCTCTTCTTACAGGCCTTGCAATTGCCAGTGCCCTAATAGATATTTCACAACAGAAGCCTTCAGATAGTAAAGACAAGACTTCGGGAGTCCGAAATCGAAAACACCACCTCTCAACACGTCAGGGAACTTGTGTCTGAGAAACAGAAGCTGCTCCTGGATATTCCGAAATGTTTCGATTTTGTAAAATGACGTCCATTAAGGCTAGTCTGTGGCCTCAGTTTTTATGGAGGCGAATCTCCGTATGGTCCCAGGGCTCACGTACAGTTCCCTCCGAATGGGCAATGACCCGAGTGGCCAGAGAATGTTCGTGACTTTTATGAAAGTAACAGTATTGATGGTCACGGACGATAAAGTCAGTTTTTACGACTCTCTTAGGCTTATCATAGATAACATTAAATTACGCTGGAAAAAGATGTATATTGTTTCTTAATGCAGATGAAAATATGTAATTCATATAAACCAAACTGTTTATATCCCAAGACTTTAAAGAAAGACATTTTATAATGCCTGGATGATGAGAATTGTACAGTTTTTGCCTCATAAGCAAACTTAAATCACTTGTATATGAACAGGAAATGAGCAAATTGCAATGGCTTTAAATGCTGTTTTATCTCACTGTAAATGTAAAAGCAAGATTTTGGTTTAGTAGGATGTAGGTAGTATATTTAAATATTCCACATGACCATATCGTGTCTACACTCGGTTTGAGAATGTGACTATTTTCCACCTAACGGGAACGCAGACCACAACTGGTCACATTTGGATGGATGGCGTGTGCAACTTCACAGGAGGTTTATTAGAATTCTGAGTGAAAAGGACATTCCTGTCATCCACGCCAACTGCCTAACTCATTATCAGAGCTGATAGAGCATGGAAAAACCTGTCCAGCAATCAATGTTTCCCCTCCTTCCAAAAACCCTCTGATACCGAACCTGGAGAGAGCTGAAATGGTTATTTTAGTGTGTGCAAGCTTCAGCTCTACTGTGGTAATTATTTTAATTGGTTAGGAATCATTGGATCAGACCTAAATGATCCATCTGCATTTTGTAAGAACAGATCATCTTCTGTTGGCCTTCCTCTCCTAGCTGCTCAATTTTTATCTATCCTTTGCAGATATTATGAAAAGTATTTTAGAGGTGACACCTCCCAAGGTTTAACGTGATCCAGGTCCCTTCCCACCAGCCATCCATTTAGAATACAAGTAGATGTCTACAGTATCCTTATTTCTAACCTCGACACGTTGATGTCACGAGAGGAAGTTTCCAGTTTAGAAAATAAGTTCATCACTGCCCACATTGACCATATTCTTAACAATTCACAAATCTGAATCATGGCAGAAAGGAAAAATGATTTCAAAGCGCTTTCACATTGGGACATAGAATCCTTGGTGTCCTCATTTGGACAACACTTCGCTAGAACTCAGTAGCATTATCAGATCTCGTTTGAAATGTTTTCTCCACCTCAGGGGGACGACAGGATATGTGTAGAAAGCAGTGACAGAGATATCCAAAGCTGCCTCATACAACACAGCTTCATTCACTATAAAAGTCATTTCAATATAATTGATGTTTAGTACTATCTATGTACTTTTCACATTCTTTGGATTTCTGGAAGGTAAACCACTTTACTGTTTACAGCTGACGGATGCATAGTTCTTTGCATGCTGTGATCGTGCAGTAGCAGAATATGTCCCTATTGTGATACTCAATGTTTATTTCATGATGCCATTTATACATAGCTTCATTCAATGAGGACTGAATGTAATATAGAAGAGGAATGACCATACAATAGGTAGTTGCATTGTATATACGATTGCTAGGTTGCATCCAGCCATGACTATCATTGTTTTGATAATTAGGTACTTGCTAATTATAGTATATATTCTTTATGTTGGCATGATAATTTTGCTATTTTCTATGCATTAAAAATAAGACTAATTCTTAGAATAATTAATCTATAGCCTGTGGGTTTTTTGGGAGAGGGGGCGGGAGTGGAGCTGGTTGTTTTTGCCTCCCTGTGATGTTCTCTCTCTCTCAAAAAAAAAAAAAAAGAGCAAAGTTTGTAAATGTCTCCTAAAAACAATCAAGTAATTTTATTAGCTTCTTTTTGGACCCTTTAAATGTTGATTTTTCTCCTGGAGAAATAAATTGACAAAACTGGTGACTACAAAAATATAATCATTTAAAAATAAAATGATTGCCCGATTTGTTTTAATTCTCGAATGATTATCATGAGAGAGGCTTACATAACAAAAACACAAAAGCATAGAGAGTTGTAGGTAAAATCTATTTCAGCCGTCCTTTTGGAGAGGCCAAGCAAACAGTATTACTATGAAAAAATTGCCAAGCTTCATCCATCTCGAATCCCACTAGGTTCCTAACACTTGAAAATTTGAATTTTAGAGAACTACAGGACATCATGCAATGTGAAGTTAAAGTCATACTGTATCTTTTCGGGCCAAATATTGCTAACTCCGTGACTAATTATGCAACATCTTCTCAAATTATCAAAGCTTTTTACTGGCAGTAAAATTCTTCACCCTCAGGTGAAATGGATTGAAAAGACCTTAGGGATTCTCACTTTGAATCTGTGTCATGTTCTTTTTGTCCCCATATCCCAAACACTTTAAATTTAGATGCCCCCCTTTTTTTTTTAACTTTTTAAATTCAATCCACACATATACATACAGATCCTCTTCCAGAAGTATACAGTTAAATGACTGATTGTCTTGAAAACTTTATCTTTGTGGAATTCTGTACCTTTCAGTTTAGGATAACTTTGAAACGTCCTTTAGATTTTAGGATTTCTTATTCTTCCAAGTATTAAAAATTTTTGTTAAATAGAATGGAGTTTTAAAAATTTGGGGCGCCTGGGTGGCTCAGTGGGTTAAGCCTCTGCCTTAGGCTCAGGTCATGATCTCGGGGTCCTGGGATCGAGTCCCTCATCGGGCTCTCTGCTCAGCGGGGAGCCTGCTTCCCCCCTCTCTCTCTGCCTGCCTCTCTGCCTACTTGTGATCTCTCTGTGTCAAATAAATAAATAAAATATTATAAAAAAATTTACCTGGGCACGGGGGTGGGGGGTAGAGGGCAAGTGGTGCCTGGATGGCTCAGTCGGTTAAGCGTCAGACTCTTAGTTTCAGCTCAGGTCATGATCTCAGGGTCATGAGGTCGAGTCTTGTGTCTGGTTGGGAGTTCAGTGAGGAGTCTGCTTGAGGTTCTCTCTCCCTCTCCCTCTACCCCTCCTGTTCGTACTCTCTCTAAAATAAATAAATAAAATTAAAAATCTGCCTGGGGACAATATTTGGACAACTAGAGAATCTTGTTGAAGAGACGGACATCCTTAGAGGTCAAGTTAATACATTTTAAGGAGACTGGGATTTTCATAATCGCTTTTGAGTGGAAATTTATTTCAGTGACACATGTCGAAGGAAAGAGTATGCCATATACTACCGTGTTCAAATAGGACACATTTCAACATGGAATCAATACTTGAAGCACTCCCCAAGACTGCATTTTTGGGGAGTTTTGTCAGACAGTGGTCACTGTATGGCTATGGTCCTGGTGCAGAGTCCCTTAGAGTGTAAACCAGCGGACACGCCTGAGAACAGATGCTGGAACCAGCTTCGAGCTGCATGGTGCTGGGCACAATTTGACCTCTAGAAGCATCCAGACTTTGCATCTGTGAATGGAGGTATGGAGCTGCTGTGAGCTTAGAAGTTAATGAACATAAACCTCCCACAGCAGGTTCTCCATGCAGTGTAGCTGGTCTTGACCATCCTGGGGCTACCAGGCCACTCCTTTTCTACTACCTGTTGTATGAATCCGTCTGTTAATTTTTCATCCATCTTTCACCACAGCTGAAGATCAAGTAGGTTTTTGTAGGTAAAAGTTTCGTAACAATCTTCAGTACCTATATTTCTAGGATATAGAAATTTCTTAAAAAAAAACTACTTTGATGGTTGAGTCCTTAGGAGTTTTGACTCTTTCAAAATATATACAGCTTTAGTATTTCTTAAATGACTGCTTGATGACCTTCAGGCAGGAACAGTAATTGTCACTTCCATTCAAGTAAGGCCAGAAGAAACCAGTCCTTAAATTTGGTTGACGTACATGGTACAACTTTTTGTCATGAAACATAAAATGATGACTTGAGTGTTTTATATGAAAGGTTTTAAAAAAATTAAAATTGACCAAATGAATGAATTCTCCCACATACACTGAAGAATACGTCAACTCCCAAAGCCCATTTGCCATTTTACTAGCGTGAGTTCAGAACTTACTTAGTCATAAGAACTCCCCGCCTTCGTACAGATTCCTACTTCTGCCTCTAGAGATTAAGATTCAGAAGGACTGGATCAGACCCTGGAGATTCATATGCTCAATAAGCAGCTTAGTGATTCTTACCATGAGGCAAATGAGGGAGACACTGTGCTGGGCCAAAGAGCTCCCTTTATCTATAGTTAGAAGAATTTCTTTATGTAACAAAGTTATCGCTCTAATTCAAAATGCTTTAAATGATTTTCCAGGGAATACAAGCCCTTGGGTTGGTGTTACAGCAGTGTTTTCACCACAGTATCCCTTTAACAGTGGGGTGTTATCAAATTTCTAAAATTAAGACTTACAACCATATCAATATACACATACACAGGTGTGCATGCCAGTGTTAGCACAGATTGGGTAGAAGTTCCAACCTGCTTTAAAAAGTCCACATTTTCTGCCACAGTGTGCTGTGAATCAGGAGTTAAGTTACTGGAATAAAAACACTGGATGTTCCAAGCCCCACTGCTAAACACAGTTTTGTTTTGTTTTGTTTGTCCCCCTCCAAAATCGCACAGGAAAAGCACTCCACCCCCGAGAGGGCAGCCCCTCTGCCATGGAAGACTTGCTTGTAACCTTTGTGGTCTTGAACTCCACATGCAAAATACATGTTTCTCTCTTTCCCTCTTCACCTGATTTTCACTGGTCTTTTCTATGCATTCTCTCTGAATGGCATGCCGGACACTTGGAATGTTCCTGACAATGGAAGCAACACGCACAAGAGCCTAAGTGGCCAGGATTTCAGCTCTCCGGCCCAGCCATGTGTGCTGTGTGTACAAACACTGTTCTTACAGTAACAGTCCGCTTTCAGAGACTGGTACCGCCATGGCAGGGTTGAGCGGTTTTCTAAGAAGTCTGCTTGTCCTTTGGCAGACTTTGGGTTTCATCCCCCAGAGGCCATCTGTGTCCTTGTTCTATGTTCATGCCCCTGCTCTGCTGGGCCTCAGAACGGAATCACTGAAAAGGAGCTTCCAAGGAGGAGGCAAACATCTCGCCTGTGTGCAGCCCCCACAGGGGACCCAAGCACCCATGGCCACTCTTGGGCTCAGGGTCTTGGCCTAACCTTGAGCTGGGCCCCTGCCTGTGCCCTAGCCGATGCAATGGTGGTCTCCTTCCAGGTATCCCTCCACCACACCTCCCAGGGCTCAGGCAAGGGAGGAGGCTGAGATCAGGAGGCCCAGTCATCCCTGGGAAACAGGCCCAACCTGGCTGGTGCCTCCCAGCAGCTTTAGAAGGTAGAGAGGACCTTCCGTATGGACCCTGCTGAAAATGTCCCCAAAGTGGGGAGAGCACTGAGCAGATCCTGGAGCCCCCTTTCTTTTACAACAGAAAGCAGCAGCTTCTCTGAACATCTGAGCCTCGCACAGGCTTTTCTAAAGCTTTTTGATGGTGAGTTGGTGGCTAACAGGAGATTTGAAGATTTCAGCTCAGAACCGGTCCTTCTCTGCCCCAACAAAGTTTCCCTGCAGGAGTCACCCATGAGCCACTGAAGTGAGGGGTGGCCCCTCCCTGGGCTAACCCGCAGCCCTTTCTCCCTCTCCAGAACTGAACACGTTTAGCAATACGGCGTCTGCCATAGCCAGAGCAGCTAAGAGTTTATGGAGCTTTACTTTCTCCAGACCTACCAATGAAAACAGCAAGTAGTATTATTTTTCTTTCCAAACAGGAGACCACATTATCATTTTGGATGAACTTTTGTAAGCACCAGCTCCCCGCCCCTCCTGCCCCCAAGTCTGACCTGTCTGCTTCCCAGGGCTCCCCACTCCCTCCAGGAAAGAATTCTGCCCCATTCAAGGAGTAGTTGCCAAGCAGTCCTCATTGAGCACGAAACCAAACCCCTCAAAGAGCACTGCAGAAACGCTGTCTTCTGCTAAGCATCAAATGGTATCACCAATTTTATTTTTGGCAGAAGTGAAATTTTCATGCAGGCAAGATAGCTGTTTAAGCATAAGTTTCTGTAAACGGCTCCGTGTATGGTCAGATAGGAGATCTCGCTCCAGAAAATCCGCCTAGGAAAATAGCATTAGTGAGCAAATTCTTGTACCAGTTCTTCGTGCGTCTATAGCCCCGGTTGCTGAAAGAGATCTTAAATTTTGTGCTTTCCAGTTCTGAGTTATCTTAGAGAGTCCTGTTGAGCGATGCCCTCGAGTTTTAATATAAACTCAAACCACACCTTTTTTTTTTTTTTTAAACTGCCTTGGGCCAGTTGTCTTAACCATTTCTAAGTAACCTATGATAAAAATGCTCACCTAGGTACCTCACCTAGGTCTTGTGATGGGTTTTGTTGTTGAAATGAGAAGTGGATCAGAGTTAAATGTGTTCAACTTTTACTGGGAAAAGGCTCAGGTTAAATTCAATACATCGCAAGCAATGATTTTCCCTGGAGATTTTTCTGGTAACACTAATGCACACATTGGTGCCAAAGTTCCCAAGCAGTCAAATTCCAGTAGAAACCAATGATACATGTTACCTGATGATTCAGATTTGTGCTTTCCAGGGTTTTTTGTTTGTTTTGTTTTGTTTTCATGAAGTCTATCATATATTTCAAATATTACCTTCCTCAACTTTAAATGGTAATTTTGCAGCAAATACTAACAGAGTGTCTTAGATTTTCTTTCCCATCGTCACACATCCTTCCTGACCCTTCATTGACTAATCTGCTCCTTGCCTCCCAGCAGTAAACGAACATCTCAGACCTCTCTCAATGCTTAAAAAATAAAGAAATAACCTAAAATAGGTCTTGCACATCCTCGTTCCCTTGTGACGACGATGCATGCAGCCAGCCGTTGTCTTTTCCTTCAGATCAGCTTGTTTGAAATACGACAGCACTTAAAAGGAAGGCCGGCT